CCCGCTTTCCCTTCTTATTGAAAAATAATAATCCCGGTATTTGCACACCGCCTCCCAGGACCACGAGGCGGGATGAGGAGAGGCGGGCGCCCAGCGAGCCGCCGCGCGAGGTCCGAGGCGGGCCGCGGCTCCGAGAGCCCAGCTGCGGCTCCGAGAGCCCAGCGAACCCGATGCCCCGCGCTCGCCGAGGGACCAACGAGCAGACCGCGAGGTGGCTGCACGGCCACTCTGCCGGGGCCGGCGTGTCCTCGCCAGGAGCGGGGCAGGGGAGCCTCACGAGGGAGGTTCCCCTTCAACCGCCTCCCTAACGGGTGGGAGTGAGGCGCGGGTCCTCAGCTCCCCATCCATGCCCGGCCGCACCGCCCACTGCCCCGCGCGCCCTCCATCCTCCCACGCTCGCCATCTCTCCATCCCTCTCAGCAAGCAGACTGCTAATCGCCGCCACCGCTGCGGTTCACTGCGTGTGGCCCTCGGCCCAGCTTTCCGCATAGCTCCTCAGCCACCACACAACCCACCTGCCGACGCGGCCATTTCTCAATCGGCCCCGGTTCGAGCTATTTAAAGAGGAAATGTCATTTCGCTTCCCTCTCTCCCGGGTTCCGGCTCTTCCAAGCTCCCCTTAGCCAATGAGATGGACATTGAAGCCGGCTCCTCCCCTTGATTCTGAATTTCAGGCGTCGATTGGCCAGACCTCGCGCGTTCGCCGGTCGGGAAATGTAGTTTTGCAGCCTCCGCTTCCGCGTGGTCCGGCCTCGGCGGAGGCCCCAGCCGTGGACGTATATTGGCTGATTCGGGTGGCGGTGGAGCCCTGGGAGCCGGCCAGCCTGTGTCTGTGGAGCGCGCAGTGCCTGCCGGGAAATGCAGTCTTCTGGCTGAGGAGAGCTGTCATTCTGAGGGGCTCCAAAAGGGAAAGAATCAAATGTAAACCTCCACACTTTAGGCTTCTCTCCTGGCCCGGGCTCATTTTGTTCCTCAACCTTATTTTTAATTTTCTAGACATCCGTGCTCCCCCCGCCCCCGATATGTGAACGAGCTTTGTGTAATTGCTGGTAAACAGTAATATCTTGAAAATGGACAAAAGGGCTGTTGGCCAAAAAAGCGAAGGAAATCTGACACTCCCACCCTGAAGAAAAATATCAGAAGACCAAAAGACAACCCATGTTAGGAGTCACCAGTGACACCCAGTTGAAATGGCATCGTCTTGCCGGTGCTTGAGTTTCGAGAGATGAAATGGGTCTGGTCGTGGAGGTTGTTGAGGACCTTGAGCATTTCGGAGGAATTTGAGATACCAGCCTTATTGGGAAGAGTGGATAAGATACTAAAGCCCTAGGATTTCCTTTGAAAAACTGTTGGAGACATTACTGAGCCTCAAACTAAAGACGGTTAATGAGATTAATGAAGCCCTGGCTGTTGACTTACTGCAGATGGTGCATTAGACCCTTCAACTCTTGAGCACTTAGATCTCTCACTGGTAACATGAGAAAAGTATAGTTTTCTATGAATGTGATGTCTTTTCCTTATCTGTGTAGAAACATCTAAATGAATGCCTGGCACTATTAAAATGAAACTAAGGTGCAAACACTGGGAACGCTCTGCCTAAATCTTTGGAAGGCAAGGAAATAGTACTAGGGAGGGAGAGAGAGAGTAGGTTAACTCGTGCATATCACATTTCCAATACTGAAAAGATCTAAATATTGAATTTTGCTAAAAAAAATAAGAATCTTGGATTTTAATATGAGAGAATAAATAACAAAAAATCAAATTCTGTTTTCCAAGTTTGTTGAAAATGCTTATGCAAAGTAATAGAAAATGGCTTTTCCTCAGATCTAGGGTTTAAGGATATCAATATATACTTACTATTTCTCTATATGAAAACCCCAATTGTATAAATAACCAATAGTTTCAGTGTTGTCCCTGTCCTTGACCCTAGTGTTATGAACCACCCATTTCTCTGCTCCACCAGCATTCCCTTCTATGCCCCCCTACTCCCTTCCAACACCTATCTCCTGCTATCCAGGCCTTGATCTGATAGCTTTTATCTCAAGCTTTATGGGCTTCTGTGATTCCAAACGCTTCGAACCTCTTCCAGTTTCTTATACTGTGGCCAGTATCTCTTGAGTTAAGGGGTCTATAACTCCAAATATATACAAGGTACTGATGTTAGGGAAGGCTTCCTATCACAGAAGGTTCTGAAGAAAAGCCCTTTCTCTTAATTTTCTGCTCCAGGCTTGAATTCTTGTGGCTTACGGCTTCTTTCCTTCTATTTGCATCACATTGTACTCTCAATGTTTCCCAAGGGAGGGTGATATGTCCTGAGGGTCTCAGGGCCTGAGACACCAAAGATTGCAGACTCCACCTTGATCCATAGACACCTGTTTGGTGGGGGGAAGATGAGTCCCCACCTCCTGGGCCCCCTTTTCCCTCCTGAAATCCTCTTCCATGCTGCACTCAGTCTCCCAAACTTGCCCCAAAGATAACAGACTCCTCCTTGATCCTCACTAGTGTGCTCACCAAGTTTCATAAAGAAATCTGGAGGACAACTACTTGGCCAAACAACTGGAAGAGCTCTATATCTGTTCCGGTTCCAAAGAAAGGAGATCCGCGAGAGTGTGGAAATTATCGAACAAGATCTTTACTATCACATGCAAGCAATATTCTGAAAATTATCTAAAAACAACTGGAACAGCACATCAGTGAACTGCCAGCAGTGCAGGCAAGGTTTAGAAGGGGTCATGGTATGTGGATAGTATAGGTTAGGTGGATCTTGGCTAAGAGCAGGGAGTACTAGAGGAATGTCTATCTGTGTTTTTTGATTATGTAAAGGCCTTTGATTGTGTGGATCACAAGGAAGTGCGGCTAAGTCTGAGAGAAGAATGGGAATCCAAGAACACTTGATCGTGGTAATGTGAAACCTATACTTGGACCAGGAGGCAATTGTCAGAACAGGATAAGGAAACACTGCATGGTTCAAAATTGGGAAAGGTGTACACCATGGATGTTTTCTATCTCCATACCTTTTCAATCTATATGAAGAACAGATTATCTTGGAGGC